CAAATATCTGCACCCTATCTCCTATCCCTGAGAAAAGTGCTTTTATTTTCAACCTTAAGTAATGAAATCTTTATAGCTCTTTTGTATCCTCCCTTTCATGATGTGAGTTTATAGAAGTCGTCATGGGCCACTGGAAGCTTTCAGTGGACAGGGTTAATGGTATATCTTCCTGACATGAGTAGAATTTCAATTTATTTAAACTTTATTTAACCAGGAAAGAAACTCGTTGAGATTAAAAAAATATTTTTGAAGAGTGTCATGGCCAAGACAGGCAGCAGCACAATTAACAGAGTTTCACACAAACGAGCATCCAAACATACAAATACAAACAATACATTATTAGACATTAAAAGACACAATTAACAATTCTGAACAGCAAATGTTTGTCAATATAATCTACAAACATATTGGAGAACATCTACAGCCAGACGTGTCTGCCTCAAGTCATTTAACATTCTCTTAACAGCATCAAAGCAGCTTGTTAAGTTTCAGGGTTTTTTGGCATTCGTTTCAAGAAAGGGGGCAGCAAACTTTTATGCCTTCTTGCCCAGTTCAGTTCTTACTTTTGGAATAGAGCAACCTACCTCAGAAAAAGCCACACTGCCTCAAGCGCACAGGCCCGGAGCCGAGTAATTCAGCTCCAGAATTCCAGCCAGACGCACCAGCCTTTGCTGCAAAGCAACAGAGTGGAGGCCAATGTCATACAAATTGCACGTTATGAATGTGCAGCACAGAAGACTGTCAAAGCGGTTACCTTGCAATCACTGAGGAAACAAAACGATATCAAGAGAGCCACGCCGGAGGTGGGCATGCCAAACCACTGGCACACCAACCCAGATATCGCGCTGCGCAGCGTGCGCCAGAATCAAGGTACAAATTAATAATTGCCAACAGCCCAGAGACATATACTACGGAGCCCCTGAAGTCTTGAAGATTCAAGGTTCAGGAATTTTATTTGTCACATGCCCATACAGATGTGCAGTGAAATGTAAAGACTGTTCTGTAAGGCCATGCAATAAACACTCAAATTACTGATACACATAAATACAGTAAAATATAAATATAATGTAAAATTAAAAATAAATATTTGAATATACAAAATATTTTCATTCATGAGGTGCTATGTTTTTAACTGAGGAGAGTGGAATTAACAGTCTGGACAGCCTGAGGAAAGAAGCTCTTCCTGAGTCTTTCTGTGTTTCTGTTGGCTGCAAGTTCAGCCTTAAACGGAAGTTTATTTCTGTTTATTTTGGTTTATTTACGGGAGAGAGTAAGAGAGACAGCTAGGATCAGAAAGTTATGTTTAGATAGGGAAGTTGTTGTATCATTGAAAGACACAGAATAACTTCACTGTTACCGAAACGCGGAGATAAAGCAAGTCAGACTGGGATTTTGAAAACAGGGACGAGAGCCGAGTGTGGGTCCATGGCTGCAGCTCCGGGATGCCCGGAGCACTAGTGCTAGCTCTGGGGCTATGAGCTCTAGCTCCAACTCATCCCTCTGCACCCGCTTTCCCAGCCTAACACTACCCCCTACCCAACCCCCAAAAGCCAACACTGTCCGCCCACAAGTTCCGTCTCCTCAATAGCAATAATAATTATAATAGTAATAATACGTGATCATAACATCACATAATCATAAATTGTATATATATATACATACACACATATACATATATATATGCATGTATAGCTCTGTAATACCAATAATAACAACAATAATATATATATAATAATATATAATCAGTGATAATACAAATGATGATCAATATTGTTCTTTTTAGTAACTAATTAAGTTATGTTTCCATGAAAGGAAGAGAGGGGGAAAGAAATAATCACAACTATAACAGGGATCGCTATTGGTAATGATAACAATTTTCAAAAATAAAAGATTTGCAGCACGTTTCAGCCTTTGCATTTGTTGTTGTAGTTTGCATTTGCTTTTGAATGTGCAGGGTTTCTATATATGCTGCGCCTTTTTTAAATGTATGTCGTTTCATCAGTTGCTGAGCGTTTGACCCCTACCGGTCACCGTAGTTACAGCCCTATTTTTGTTTGTTCAACTTTGAAAAATAATGGGAAAAAAAACTTTTGTGCACAAGATAGTACTTGGCCTACATATTGATACGAGTGTCAATAAGTAAGGTTTGCCTCAGCACTTTAGCCCTTTACTACTAATACTTTTCAAAGAACCTGTTTTCTAAAAGTTATAGAATTGTACTGTAACTTACTTTATTAACATGTGCATACAAACATGTGAACAGAGTTTTTTCATTTTTCTAAATACCCTTAATATGTAATCCTTGAGCAAAGGGTTAGGAATTCAGTGTTTATATTTATGTCAGGTAATGTTTGAAAATAACTGTTAAACCAGAACGTTTTGTTAACCTGCAGTGTATATGTTGTTATAACATTTCAGTTATGTTGAGTTATCTCCATAAGGCTGAACGGAACCTTTTGCCGAGGCAAATTAATTCCAAATTAACTTTTGAGATAATTATAATTATCTTGTGCGCACAAGTTAATATCTTGTGGAAACATAATTATCTTGTGCGCACAAGATGTATATTTTTTTTTTACTTTTCGGGACTTCAGAGGCTCCATAATATACCAAGCAGAAAGAGGGGAGAGACCTTGTCCTGCCACATAAACTTCTTAGAAAAATTAGCACTTTAACACAAAGCAATAACTCATGATCACAGCAGAGTTCAGGTTTGGAAATAAATTGTGTGATGTTTTTTTATTTTATTTTACAGTTTGATCCATGTCTGTTATCATTGAGGAGGCTGGGTTTATGAAAAACAGCCTTCTGCAGCCAGTGAGCACGGGGAGCTCTAAAGATAGAAAGAAGCTTCACACTGGAGAGCTTGTCCCATCCACTGTTATGCAGTCTATGGTTATGACAGAGCACGTTATGTATTATGCAGACAGCAGTGGAGAAATTATTCAGATCCTTTACCTAAGTAAAAGTTCCACTGCAGCAATATAACAATAATTAATATGTACTTAAGTAAAGCTAGAGATGTATTAACTGCTTGATGGAGTTAAATCATCTTTATGACATGATTACAGTATAAAAAGTGAAGCATCAGTGCTGTAGTAGCATTATACTGTTTTAGCTTCTGGGGTAAATCTGATTCATAAATCTGTTTTGGGCTTTTTCTTTAATATTTGATTTTGCTGAGATATTGGATCATTTGACCATTTATTAAAATTAAACAATGTAGTTCAGAGTGAAGTGATCGTTATTGGTGGACCTCTGAACAACTCATAGACCTCAGAAATATCACCCTTACTAAAAGGATGCTTTTTATATACTGCTTTTTATAATGCGTACAATGACAAGCAAGTTGAAAACCACTTATCAATCTTTAAAAGCTTTTATCCATTATATCAAAAATTCAACTTTAAATTAACTAAAGCGGTCAAATTATTGCAATCGAGTTTTCAGTATTTCCCTCTGAAATGTTATGTTGTTGATGTTACATTTACCTAGACCTCCTGGAAATGATTAAAGTAATGAAGGAGTATGTGGAGTGTCTGGGCATTGATGCCCCCACCTTTTGACCCCCACATCTGCAATATGTGAAATCTTCCAAAACACGCTACAGCACGCAGTAACATTGAATCTTCATCATCATCATTATGTCACCATGGTAACTGTCATCGTTAAGGTAGGGGGCGAGGCCATGCAGGGACACAGGCATCATCTCTTTCAGTGGACAGTAAAATTGAAATGGTAAATTACAATTAAGGGATGAATGTATTTATGAATGAACCAGCCTTAGTTCATTCATGTTTATTTAGAATGAAGTTGTTTGCCATGGTTAGTATTAAAGTGACAAGATTAAATAGGATACATGTTTCACGCATCATTCATTTAAAGTATTTTGCTGTTATTGGGAGCCTCTCACCACTGGTTATACAGCTCCATAGAAATATATGCAGACTAGTAGCAGTTTTTTCCAAAGGAAAGATTGAATTAGGCACATTATTTTGTTTGTGGATATGCCTATTCATGCCTCATAGTTATGTTGAGATTTTCCAAGTATATTTTATTTGGTTAACTAAATCTCTTATCCTGCCTGTCTCTCTCTTTCTCTGTCTATCTGTCTCTCTCAAGCTCTATCTCCCTCTCTCATTTACAGCGCCCCCTGGCTGGAAGCACAGTGACAGTTCCAAAGAGGGCCTACTTGTGCCTTAACCGATCTCGCATTATAATTTTTACCCAGGAGCTTGCCGCCCTGATGTTAACAAAGGAGGTCCTTGCACAGTCCACCCTGACAAGAAAGTCTGGGAAATAGGGCCCCCCAAAATACAGCTGGATGTGGCGTGCAGGTATGTAGTGTCTTGAGATTTGAAAGATGACAAAGCTTATGTGATTTTATAGAAAGCAAGATTATCTTGGATATTATTTCTTGCACACACGATAAAATATAATTGAAGGGCCTGAAATAATGCTGGCCTTGTTACAGGTGTGTTAAAGCCCATATAGGCGGCTACTCTTTAACTGACTGGCTTCATTATATGTCTGTTATATTCCATTCTTTATGACATGCTCACCTGTGCAAGCAACAAGACCATCAAAGCTATAATCTCAATCAAGCGCATTTAAGTATATGCTTATACTTAAATTTGACTAAATACAATTGAAGATGTTCAACTTTAGCACACACAAACACCAATTACACTTAAAAGTCTCTTTTTAGAGCCTACTATTTAAATACAACTTAAGTTTCGTATAAAAATAAGTTGTTCTTCAATTTCACTAATCATTAACACACTTGAGGTGTACTGATCATTAGTCCGGCCAAAAGTGTACTAAAGTATGCTAATATTTAACATACTTAGCACAAATATTTTTCACCAGGGTAGACCTAGCCTGTGAGTCAAAGCCGTGATGTGAATCTTTGGTTTATGAGAAGGGAGGAAGAAGCGCACACTCTGCGCACCTCTCTGCTCCGCCTCCTCCCTCTCCTATTCCTGCCTTTCTCTTGGGGGGGTAACGGACTATTATTGGCACCTATCTCGGGCTTCTTTTGTGCTTTGACAGCAATTTAGGACTCCGATGAACTTTTGCAGAGCACCTGAAATTGTAGACGCTTCAACACAAACCTGGTGGAGAAACTTTGGACTTCATCAAAGCAGAATATGATTTGTTAAAATGACCTCATCGGATTTGTGACAGATGCGGCTACGCAAAGTGAATACCAGCTACTCAAACAAGCGGAAGATACAATCAGGAGGAAGATATTGTCTTTGCCAATTAAATATATTCTACGACCTGTGATCAGTTTTTTCGATTAACCTTTTCCTGAAATTCTGCCACCTCGATGCTCAATATTCCAGCAACAGGACGCCGGCCGGAGTAGGTGTGTAGCAGCAACCAAAAAAGAGAAGAGCAGGGATTTATTAGAACATTAGTATTTCATAATCAATGCACTTCGTCTTTTGGAGGACAAAATTGGAGGAGGGACGCAAATCAGTCCACGGAAAGTATAAGGAAGATGATTACCGCCACTGTTCTCCTTCTCTCCACTCTCTCTCTTACAAGTGAGTTCTTCGTTCTTTAAATTTCTCATGAAGGTGATATATAAAAAATAAAGGCTAGGCTATTTTTACAAAGCGTTTCCACTAGTTCGGTGTTACAGCTTACTTCGAATAAGTCATTTTGAGCTGTCTGCCTATCCGAGGTAAGGGTTAACTTGTTTTTCACATCGATATTCGACATTCACTCTGCAGCCAGCGACTTTTCCAATCATAATAACAATAATAAATGGACAAAGCCTGGATACAGCCTCAAGGGGACACTCAGAAAATGTTCACCTTGCTTCACTGTTGTTACAAAGACATGGGTGCTAAGTTCACAGCAGACACTGATTTAGGGACCGTCAATAAATTACGAATTTTCATATAGCACCAACTTTTTATTTATAATGTGTTAATGTCTTCAGGTTTTATTGAAGAATAACAGCATGTTTTTTTCCTTCCGGAAGGCCAGTCTTTCATTTTTATTGTTAGAGTTCTTGTGACTCAGAATCAATGCCAGAAGTTAATTTACTTTGGGGAAAAAACCCTCCCCACCTTATGTAAGTTGTTTCTTAAAAAAAAAAAAAAAAAGTTTAATTATTTATTTTTGTACTGTCTTAAGCCAAGGGTACTTGACTTCTGTTTGAATACACACCTGCTTTTATATTGAAAGGAAATAAGGAACTTGTGGCAGACCGAAGGTTACAACATAAACTTAACCATAGAAAATGGAACTTTTGATGTTTGCTTTTAATGTTTGTTAGAAGCAACATTTTGTAATAACTTATTTAGAGAGCTACTTTGACATGTTTTGACCAGCTCTGCCCAAACCTGTGATATTTCTAATGAGCTGACTCGAACTAGTTGGCAGGTTATGAGTAAATGAATCAACAACAATGACAACAAAGATCATTTTCATTATCATATTACATTAAGTCATTATTATCTTGAAAGCTCAAACGTTTAACCTTCCCACAAATGTAAAAATAACTATAACATTTGCAGGAAATTATGTATAATATTTGTGGGATTTTTACATTAACACACTCGACAAAGGTCCAGAGGGACCGAAACGTTGTGATTATTCTATTAAACTGGTGATGCTGAGCAAGAGAATTATGCAGGATTTTTATTTTCAAGCTATAGTTTGTCGCCCTAAGCACCTACCTGAAGAGACAATTGGATGTGCAAACACCTCCTTAAAAAAGTTGGATTTTTACATTAAAAGCTGCAGATCTGTATTACATTGTGTGAATGATTAAGTTTGTGGGCAGTTATCACATAAGTGACTATTATCAGTTTTCTAGAGTCTTCCATGGCTCGAATAAATGTTAAAGCTGGATTTTAACAATGCCTTGATGTACTTCATGGGCTAGCTGTAACACTTTGTCTTGTAGGGGAATAACTATTCTGGCACACAGCAGTATGATGTCTGATGCATGATGGGGTCAGTTCACTACCAACCTGTCTCAACTGCTTTAATATAATAGCAGATAGGGAGCAGACTGCATCCTGCTGCACAGTAGAGCTTCTGTGAGAAAGTGGGTGTGGCCTAGCAGAGAGAGAATGATGATTGCTAGTCCCTGAGGCATGCGTGTGAGAGTGAGGGGAGAAAAAGGACTGACACATGGAAGACTTTTTGTCAGAAGGAGTGTTTAGGCCGCATTTAATGTTTTTGGCTGCCGAAGAATAAAAGAGGAGTGCTCGAGGAACATCAAGAGTAGAGTACTATTAAAGCCTATTTTTATAGCACCATTGACATCTACTGGTCACAAGGTGCTTTAGATCAAAATGATAATAAAAAGCACAGGGCTGACAGTTAAAATCATAGCAACAAAAAAAACCCAAGTACAGTTATGCAGAAAAATGCAAATGTCAGAGATACAAAAGCTAAATAAACAAGACAAGAAGTCATTAGTGGTGCAGTAATGCAAATGCTTGTCTGAATATGAGAGGCTGATTGGGAGTGTAAGGGAGCTCAGCAATGTACTGGGGTGATAGACCATGTAGGCCTCTAAAAGGCGGGTTTGTCTCAGGGATTGGGAGTCAACTGGTTAGGAGTTCAATCTCTGAACACAACAACCCCTAGCTGCTGCTGTTGCTTCATCAGCGGCAAAAGTGTATGAATGGGATTAGTTAATTCTGATGGTCACTTTTTTTGCATACTGCATTCAACAGTAATATGCGGTATGACTGCCACTCAGTGCTTATTTTGCAGTATGTACAGCATACTGCGTTCTACAGTTGTATGTGGTATGACTGCCAGTCAGTGGTGAATTTGTTGTATAAGCTGGTTTTCATTCTTGGAATGCGTAAGTAAACAACAGCCCAGCTGATGACAATTGCAGCTGCAGTGTAGCATCCAATAACTGTTTGTAAAAAGCTGAGAAAAGAGATTCCTTTTAGTTTTCATGAAATTGAGAATCAAGTAAGAAAATGAGAGGTATCTAGGTATTTTTGTGGGTTGGTCTGATTGTGATTATACCGTCTGTGCTTAAGCACGGTACAGGACAGCTGTGCTAGTGTGAGTGCGCCCTAATTTTCCAATCTCTTCAAACAGTTCAAGATGACTCACCATCAGCTCATATGCAACTGTGCAACACTGCGGTATGGTTAATACTGCTCTGATTATTTTAATTAGTCCCAGTGCTTTGGATGTCTCATAGCTGAGAACAGTAAATCTGTCACTTTTCATTTCAAAGAATGTGCGGTTAGTCTTTTTCTGTCACTATTTCAGTGCACTTGAAAGCACCTCTGACTTTGGAACAACCTTGGAACGGAAAGGGTAGATCATGTTATTGGTGACAGAGTTAAGGCAAATTAGTTTTCTCAAAATGTGTTTCATTTGTTGGCTGTGGCTCCTTAGTCTATTAAAACAAACATTTTGTTGCCATCAGATGTAGATCTGATAGGTAGGTGGGTAGGTAGGTAGGTAGGTGGGTAGGTAGGTGGGTAGGTAGGTGGGTAGGTAGGTAGGTAGGTAGGTGGGTAGGTAGGTGGGTAGGTAGGTGGGTAGGTAGGTAGGTGGGTAGGTAGGTGGGTAGGTAGGTAGGTAGGTAGGTGGGTAGGTAGGTGGGTGGGTAGGTGGGTGGGTGGGTGGTCGGATGAATACTTTATTGATCCCGAGGGAAATTCAAAGCATCCAGTAGCAGGTTTTGTGGTTGTCTTGTATAACTATCTTTAGTTTTGAACAGCACTACCTTATAAAATGATTTTTTTTTTTTTACCACAGTCTCTGTATTGTTTGCCTCTAGCAGGAAATTCACCATCATAGAGATATTTACCGCCATAGTTCCTCAAGTGGTTGTCCAAACGTTGTTTTTTGGAACATTTTCTGTTGTTTGAATGTTTCTCCACATTCCTTGATCCAACATGTTGACAGTAGCTCTTTCTATGCAGACTTGAATTTGAGTCGGTTAAAGTACTCTTCTGTGATCAAGAATCTCATCTAGACTTAATTCAGGCCCCATAGTGCTTTCCTTTGGAGCCCGGATGATGCACAGCTTTGTATGATTTGCATTTTAATTTCTGCTTCAACATTTGCATACTCACGACTTTGGCTAACATTCTTAGCCTGGTGTGATAACTGTTAAAATTTTCTCCTGGTTTTTGCAACAACTTTTGGAAATTGTACACTTGATACTGGATGTTTTTCTTGGGAAAAGCATGCATCTTAAAATAGCAGTTTCAAAGTCAATCTAATAGTACATAAAGCATACTGTCACCAGCCTATGTAAAAACAGCCTATAAATAATAACTGTTATACTGATTTGCAATTTTTAATGTTAAAATCCCTCAAACGTAATGAATTCCCCACAAATGTACTGAAATTTCCACAGATGTAACAACAGTTTCCTACTACAAATGTAATACGTAATTCCTACACATTCCTACTTTAAGCTGAGTACACATGGTAGTGTATCTGCATTTCATGTTTGTTATGGAGATGAATCCTGGGGTTAACAACACTTATTTCACTTCCTGTTTTGCAAATTGTCTATAGGCATCAGAGCAGAGAATGCAGAGGAGCGGCTGGTGAACTACCTATTGGGTCCAGAGCGCTACAATAAATTGATCAGACCAGCAGTCAATAAGAGCCAACAGGTCACCATTTCAATACAGGTGTCTCTGTCTCAGCTCATCAGCGTAGTAAGTATGATAAATACTTTTGGACACAGTCACAAATACAGATTACTATGTATCGGAAAATCTTTGGTGCTCACACGAAATTATTGTGACAAAATGTTTGAAGTCATGTTTAATTTATTTAGCTGAATAATAGGACACATGCTGAATCAAGTTTAGTATAAACATATCTTTGTATCTTTGTAACAATGCATTGTCTCTACTTGTTCCCGATCAGGACTTGACATTAAATATAGGTCTTTATCGTTTGCTCGATAGTCACTATGTTCCTCCTGTAAGGGCTGTGTACTATGGAGCGCCGATTGTAAAGTTGCACACAATACAAATAATAGCAACATTTCTCCACAATTAGCCATTAAACAATTTTTAAAAGTCTCTTTTTATTCACATTTAGAGAAATAATAATAATAAACTGTGCTTTAACTTTGGTAATATGTTTCAGTCTTTTAGTAGTTACCTGTTATTTTAAGATAGATGTTCAACCCAGGCTCCACACAAATGAAGAGCCAGAAAGCAACCTTTTCCCCGTTTTAGAAGATGAGAAGATAATGGATGTTGTGGCATTTTTGGTTGGCATCAATTCACACCGGAATAAGCTGAAATTAAAGCTACAGGGAAAGTACATTACAGTTTGTGATCTGATGACTGCTGTCAAATCCTTCCAGTGGAAACTCAAGGTGTTTAATTCCTTAAACACCTTGAGTTTCCTGCAGGGAGACTGTGCACACTTCCCATCAGTGAAAGAAGAGGTTCAGGGTGAGAGAGATGTTTCTGGTTTTGTTCACTTTATTGACAAGGTCAAAACTTCTGCAAGCATTTAATCACCTACATTTTTGGATCTGTTAAGAAAAACCTTGTTTAAAGAATTTAACAATTTCTTATAATTGCTGCCAATAATAATTAATGGTCAATATATAACTCTGACACTTAGCGTTTAAAATGGGTACTGCAGTTACAATTCAAAACATTGAAGAGAGCTGTCTCCCCCACCCCCTCCTCCCTACAGCTGATGTGCACACAGCGCTCTAACCTCTCTCCATTTTTTAAAAGCATCTCCAATATTTATCCTAGTTTTACCACGTTTCTGGTCGTGGAGCTTTTAAGGTCAACATTTAATTGATTTTTTTTTATTGTTTTCTGCAGAATGAGAGAGAACAGATAATGACTACCAACTTGTGGCTTTTTCAGGTAAGCTGAAATCTTTACTGCTGAGTGCTCACACAGCATTTGATATACAGTATGTGAGTGTTGTGAGTAAGGAAATAGATAAAAGCTCACTCTGCAGGAGTGGAATGACTATCGGTTGAGATGGGACCCAGACAAGTACGACGGAATCAAGAAACTAAGAATACCATCCAAAAACATCTGGCTTCCTGATATAGTGCTCTACAACAAGTAAGCACTTGTACTGTATTTCATACCACTAACATGAATTTGTTTATAAGACTTAGATGTCGGTTCTCTCATACTGTGTATAGATAAAGTGTATATACATTGGTTTGTGGTGGATATTTATGGAAACTTTGGTATCGATTCAATGTGATACCAACGTGTGTGTGTGTGTGTGTGTGTGTGTGTGTGTGTGTGTGTGTGTGTGTGTGTGTGTGTGTGTGTGTGTGTGTGTGTGTAAAAAAGGTTTTGGGCCAGATTTGAATAATTCAAAGCGCATGGTCTAAAGCACATGAAGTGTAAGGGTGTGTCCTACTTAATTTGCTTGTTAAGCAACACACGACCAGGACGTCAGTGAGTCCAACGTAGGTGTGGTTTTGCCGTAACATGAATCAAACCAATCAGAGCGTCAGCTCTCATTCCCTGTAAGAACTAGTGTGCCTGCAGGTAAGCATATTACTATTTGCACTTTCCTTTTCCAAGCTGGACCAGGCTCTGGCCAGCTCATGTAACCTCTCTCCTTTCATTTTGCCCCCAAGCATACACAACACTATATAAATATATTGATTGCAGATTGAATTTATATCCACTGAATCATTTATTTACTAATTTCTGCTGCTGGAATCCATAGTTCTCTATTGTGTGCCTAATGGACACTGGACATACTATATAAATAGCCTATCTTTGGGCTTGATTATCGATGGCACAGTGTTATGTTTAAGGACCATAATAAATGTAAGTGTATGTGTTTCTGTGTATTATAAAGAGCTTGCATCAGAGTTAGCACACTTGATTGAGGCACAAAAGCTTGCAATCTGTTAGCTTACTGTCCAAATTTTAAAAGAAATCTAGTTGTATCAGCATATGCACCGATATTGTTAAATGGACTTGAGCTAGACATTCTTCCTTCCATATACATTCACATGCAGCTGACATTACCCTAACACAGAGGTAATCATGACGTTTTGTTGATGTGGTACAGTGAAATATGATCTAGCATTAAAATATAATGTTTTATTCTCAAAATTAACCAGATGTTTTAATGTTGTTTCGGTGTGTGACTTCCTGTCCTGCTCTGTCAGCTCTGTCTGCAAATTAATGCGCCCTGCTCCAGCTAAAATGGATGCCTTGCGTATTTGCAACAGAGGGCTCTGGATTACCGAACTGAAACAGAGCTGAGGCGCAGCCAGTGGAAGCACACACAGCAAAGTGAAACCTATCAGCTCTGCTGCTGTTGCAGAGCGGAGACGGACCGAACATGTATCCGGTGGAATTCAGCAGTAATTAGTGCAACTTTGTTAATTGCAGAGGAAATGAGAACATGCTATATAGCAGGGGAAAGACCGTGCTGAAGCATTGGCTGAATTTATTGTCACCTCATGTAGTTATAAGGAAGAGCTTTTTATATACATATTTAAGTGAGCTAAAAATGTCATGTTTAATTGTTACTCTGAATACGACTCACTAATCTTAAATCTTTTCTAAAAAACATTTGCAGTGCTGATGGTGTGTACGAGGTTTCCTTCTATTGCAATGCTGTGGTATCCAACACAGGAGACATTTTCTGGCTTCCTCCAGCCATCTACAAGTCAGCATGTGCCATTGCGGTCGAGAACTTCCCCTTCGACAAACAGAATTGTACTCTTAAATTCCGCTCTTGGACCTATGACCACACAGAAGTGGATCTAATCCTCACAAGTGATTTTGCAAGCCGTGATGACTTCACACCAAGTGGAGAGTGGGACATTGTCTCGCTCCCAGCGCGTAAAAACGAGGACCCCAATGACATCACCTACTTAGATATTACCTATGATTTTGTGATCCAGAGGAAGCCACTATTCTACACCCTTAACATGATCATCCCATGTATGCTTATCACTTCTCTGGCTATACTTGGGTTCTACCTACCATCAGATTGCAGGGAGAAGATGACATTGTGTATCTCAGTGCTCCTTGCCCTAACTGTGTTTTTGCTGCTGATATCAAAGATAGTGCCACCCTCCTCTTTTGCAGTGCCACTTATAGGTAAGTCATATATTTATTTATGTGTGTGTGTGTGTGTGTGTGTGTGTGTGTGTGGGGGGGGGGGGGGGGTAGGGTGGTGGGAGTGTGTGTGTGTGTGTGTGTGTCAGTGTAAAACTGTGGAGACTTAGGAAAATATGGAAGGCCATTCTCTCAAGCATATTTCTAATATAGTGAAATCTCATAATCTTTGATATATTAATCAAAAACCTTTTTGTTCTTAAGCAATTCCTTTACTCAGATTTTGCCTTAAAAGAGTTGTCTCTAAGAGTTAAGTGAACAAAAAACTTGGCAAACTCTTATGAAAAACAAAAAAGGATCTGAAAGTGAAAAACTAAGATTTTAAGATGAGATATAACTACTGCAAGCAAAGAAAATAAGACTTTCAGTCAACTTAACAACAGGCTGGAGCTGAGGTGGGTTTTAAGCTTGAATGCACCAGTTGCTTTGCTCACATGTCCTGATATCTCAGGACATGTGAGCAAAGTGATATCTGATATCTCAGGACATGTGAGATGTGATGTTTCAAGGCATCTCACGACTCCCCTCTCAGTGTCTCAGGGGGTCCCCCACTTTGGGAACCACTGATGTAGCGTCTGGAGTAGAGTCAGACCTGGACCCCTGAGACATTTGACAATTTGGTGAGTGACCATCTTGTCTTCGTTGTACTGTATATCTTTTCCACAAGTGTTTGATTGCTGCATTTGATGGATTATCACAATAAATGTGTATATCTGTCTTTCTCTAAAGATTGAACAGAGATCAAAGAATGATATTGGCCAATTTATCGGTATCAGATTTTTTCAGTATTGGCCCCAACAATCCTATATCAGTCTGGCCCCACTTTCAATCAGACTACTTACTTCCAGTTCATTTGTATCATTCTAAGAAAAACAAGGATCAAGTACATGTGAAGAACTTGTTAGTGTTATTGACAGCAACTTAACAGCATTTAGAAGTGCGCCAAAGTAGAAGCATAGTAAGCTGTCATGATTTGGTCTGTTTAATTTTTGTATTTCAAAGTTTAGATTTCTTTATCTTGCTTTAGTTTTCCTTTTTTCGCTGGTGTTTGCCTCCCAGTTTAGTTTTAAGTGTTTAGTGTGTAATTTTTAAATTGTGTATCCCTATATGTTCTAGTGTGTATTTTTGTTGTTAAATTCTTAAGTTCTCTGTGGCATTACTGTTCCCTGATTTATGTTTTAGTTCTTGTCGTGTCTCTAGGCCTGTATTTCTTCCTGCCTCTGTGTGTTTCCCTCCTGTTCTGATTGCCCTGATTGTCCTCACCTGTGTCTTGTTGGTCTCACCTGTGTTTGATTACCCTGTCTATTTAGGGTGCATCCGGATTGTCCCTCCTATCCCTTTTCACTATTCACTTTACCTTAACCCCGGTGAAAATGTCATGGGGTAAGGAAAGATGATAGTAGAATTCATAAAGGATTTAGGGAAAGGCCATCGCGTTGCTCTGACAATCCGACCACATTTCCACTAGGCCACGTCATTAAATGCGATGGGCCAGCAGAGGTTAATGACGTGGGTCTGCCGTGTTGAAACTACAATGTTCCGAAAATGGACTACGAAAAGCGCATCTAAAAAACTTTACCCTGTGCCTTCTTAACAGTGAAATAGTCCTAATCACCACTAGGAATGGAAATAAAAGGCATATAGGCTACAAGGAGTAACAAAAGTGAAACCATCACCTTCCTGTCCACTCATAAATCAACATTCATCCAAAATAGCCTAAGTATGATTGTATGAAGTTAATTAAACTTACATTAATGCAAGATGTACATAAACATGATGTTTAAGGCATACAAATGTACAACTGCACAAAGCATTATTAAGTGAATGAAATATATTGAATAAAACATAATTTGGCTAAAAATGTCCCTTACATGATCTGTGTCCCTTTACGATCATCGTTCATTTTTGTGAACGGTCGGATGCACGTCTCACTTTAAATGTTGCGGCCGCAAGGAATTGTGGGGCGGCATATCTCATCTCCTTTGGTAAAGGATGGTCCAGTATATCCTTTGCTAAATTAGGTTATAAAGGAAGCATTGACCCACCTGACTCAGCTTTTAGAGAATTTGAACGGCTCTTATTATGGCCACTTGAATGCTTCCGGGTCATTTCACTCAGTTAGGAACCTTCCTAAGCAAAAATGACAATTCGAACGCACCCTCTGTGTTTCTTCCCTTCTGTGTCAGATCAAGTTGTTAGTTGGCGATCGTCAATTTACCAGTGTCTCCTTGTGATTCCTCGTGGCTCCTTGTTTTCTCCTGTTGGATTTTGATTGTAAGTTTTTGATTGCCGTTTTGGGTTCTGCACTTTGGGTCCAGTCCCTTATATTTCCTGAACTATGACAGTAAGCATTGCATAGTGAATGGGAATAGAATGGTACATTTGATCTTTTTTTCTCTTTCTCTTATTCTCTAAGGTAAATACTTGATGTTTGCCATGGTGCTGGTTACTTTCTCAATTGTAACCACAGTCTGTGTCCTTAATGTGTACCATCGCTCCCCATCCACCCACCACATGCCTTACTGGGTCAAACAGATCTTCTTAGTTCGCCTGCCCATAATCCTCCTCATGAGGCGTCCAGGCTCTTCCAATGTCCATGGTAGACTCATTCAAAGGTTAGTCAAGAAAAGCATTTCCCAGAGTGGAACAGTGAAGAAGCAGTACTCCAACAACAGACTATGTGGGATACCAACAGACTCTGACTCTTTCAATGTGTCTGACGACTTGTCAAACACGTTTCGCTGGAAGGTCGGTGACATCCAAGATGATGACTGTGGGTATCCAGACTCCCAGAGGGATTTGGCAGTTAAGTGGGATGCAGATCTGGAGGAGGCAGTGGATGGAGTCAGATACATTGCTGAACACATGAAGACAGAAGATGATAATGAAGGGGTGAGGAGATAAAGTCAGGTGACAAACTAAAAATGATAAGCTCAATGGATGAAGGAAGCCTTACAAAAGCTGATTCAGCATATTACAGGGATACTTTCCACCCATTTGCATTAAGCTTTGTATCATTAGAAATCTGGATGTATTTTTGAATGGTCATGCATCCCGCCCTCATTTTCCCTTGAGACGGGAAAGATCTGTATTTCTTTTCTGAAAAAGAGCCTCCGATGATGAAAAAATCTTCATTTTGCGTCATCGGTGGCTGCTCTGGTTAAAGGGGGTGAAACTACATCATTGGTTACTCATGTTTTCAACCCACCCAGCGTGGACGTGGCAGTGCAGACGTGGCAGTGCGGACGTGGCAGTGCGGACGTGGCAGTGCGGACGGCCCTTCGGCGTTGTTACAAAAGCTTGGCTGGGCGCTCAGACCCTCAATGGACCCTCCTCCGCGATTGCACAATATCGCAGCGCCGACCGCATGAAGCATGACTTAGGTTTTAGAGTCTGTTTGCTGCCCAGAATTTCCAAGATGCTAATTCCTTCTGGGAAAAATCTCAGAGTCAGTTGAGGAAACGGCCGTATGTCTGTAAATAAAGCACCCTAGCTTCAGTGGGAGTGGCCTGCGGTGCTCTTCATTCTGGGATTTGGTGTCTTTCATCCACATGAGCCAAAAATACACTTTCTGCCTTTTCTCAGTCAAGAAGGCACCAACTTCAAAATTTATCTCACATTTCTATTACATATATGACCCAATGTCAATACAGATTCATGTTTCAACGAGTGAAGTATCCCTTTAATGATGACAAAGTTAAACCAGGGAGAAACAATGGGATATGCATAGGAAATTAATACATTTATTTAATAAATGATTTAGGTCAGTGCACATTTATGTACACATTGGCAATAAACTTCTTCGTTAATATGCCATAATTAACACAATAGCTGTATTTACATGGTTTCCTGTACACAAACATTCAGAGAATTTCGGAAACAAGAACTGGCGATATACCGAGCATAGAAATCGGACAGCCAACTAGCATTTGTAGACGTAGTGTTGCAGAGATACACAGACACACAAACTCACGAGTATGTCATGCTCACGATAGCCTAGGCCACTACAACATAGCTACCGCACAGGTTTAGTGCTGAAGTGTAAACCAGGCTTTACCACATCCCAAGTTCTAAATCTCACGTTCAGTCAAAACAGTCATTACAACAGTGTAACACAAATGTTTATTCCCTTGTCTCCATATACATATTATACCAAAGTTGAGCAAAATACATGTCACTTTCCAGTATGTGTGCACTTTACAGTATGTGTGCACTTTTATTTACATGTTGAAACACACTGCCTTCAATGTGTAGGCTATATGATTTTTGTTGTGGCTAGTTCTAAATATGGACCCAAAAGCACGACTCAGACAGGCAGGTAAATTGTACAAAGGGATTTATTCCAAAACGTGACTCAAAAATTGTGCAAAGGGGAGGGGTAGTGCAAGGTCCTGAGTTCCTATGTGGCAGAATCCCAGTGCGGTGTCCAAAAGTGCACAGGTGAGCGAGCCGGAGGCAGGCAGTGAATGAAGAAACATAAAGTCGATCTGATGAGCAAAGACAAAAAACAGGAATAGCTACAAAAGCTACGACAACAAGGACCATGTATCTCTTAAGATACCTCACAAGCTGGTGAAACAAGCTGGTGAAACAATCTGGCGGCGAGGTGAGGCAGAGAGGAGTCTTTGTAGAGGGACCCTTGATCACAAACGAATTTCACATGGCGCCGCTTGTGAAAACAAAACCACGCCCACCACACTCACACAGAACACAGACGGGAGAGAAACATGAAGGTTAGACAGACAGGGAATGACAGGAATGACTATATGTATGTGCACTATCAGAAGTTGGGAAATTCCAAGTTACCAGTTAAAAAAGAGAGAGAAAATATGAAGACCGTTTCCTTAAATACAGATTCACCAGCATAAGCTTAAAATACATTTTGAGACAACTCACAAAGAACAAATCTCTCTTTGAAAAGAAAGAATATGCTGAGCTGAATAAGCTGCGAGTTTCCTTCAGAAAGGCAATGTCTGTTAGTGAGCGGGCCCTGAAAGTATTTTTTTTAATTGTTTTTATTGTCATCATACAATAGTACAAAGTAAAAAGCTTCATTTTAATGTGCAAAAAAACAAAAGGAATCCACAGCTACAAACAACAAACAAATTACAGAGGTACAATGTTAATGTAGGAAACAATTGCAGCAGGTTCCCCCCAGGAACCGATAACGTTCTTTGAATTGACTTGAGCAATGAATGGAGGCAAATTTTTAATATGGTAAATGGACTTGAGCTTGTATAGCGCTTTTCTAGTCTTCCGACTACTCAAAGCACTTTTACACCACATGTCACACCTACCCATTCACACCCATTCACACACTGATGGCAGTAGTTGCTATGTAGTATCATCCATCAGAAGTAACTAATCCCATTCATACACCGCCACCGAAGCAGCAGGAGCAATTCAAGGTTAAGTGTCTTGCCCAAGGACACATGGCACATGTTGCCCAGCTGGGGATTGAACCCTCGACCTTCCGGTTGAGAGGCGATGACTCACTTACAATCTGTGATGGTGTCTGCAGCACTTGTGATGATGACAGCTGTCTCTGCATTTTATACTCTTATATATTGATCTCACCATTTACTAGGTGAATCTCATACAACACATTTTACAGTATTTAATAATAATAATGAATCTCAGTAAACATGCTATCTGGGCGGCAGTAGCTCAGTCTGAAGGGACTTGGGTTGGGAACCAGAGGGTCGCCGCTTCAAGTCGGACCAAGTCCGGAAATTGGCCTGGTAGCTGGAGTGGTCCACTTCCTGAACACTGCTGAGGTGCCCTTGAGCAAGGTACAAACCCCCCAAAACTGCTCTGGACCGTTCTCCAGAGAGCCCATTACATACTTGATGTTATGTTGGTGGTAATGTTCAGGTTTATTAGCCAATGACCACACAAACTTATGGAGTGAGTATTATAGACACTCCAGTCAGATGTGGTCCTCATCTAAACTTATTTGTTTGATTTCAGGTAATACAAGACTGGAAGTACGTTGCCATGGTGATTGACCGTCTTTTCCTGTGGATCTTCATTCTGGTCTGTGTGGTGGGAACTCTGGGGCTGTTCTTGCAGCCGCTGTTTCAAAGCTATAACACCCCCATTGCTGATGACACAGAGTAAGTGCAATACATACTCTGGAATACAGATTAAGTATAATGCACACACTTTTTTTCTTAAAAATATTGTCATTTCAAATAAGTCTTTCAAATGTCTTCTGAATAAACCTTTGGTTATATACCTGAGATTTAACAGCCACTAAAACATGTGTCTTCAAATGCATTCACCTATTGCTGCTTTACAACAAAAGCCTAGCTTATCTGCAGATTTGTTTTATTGCAAAGCAGGAATAAAAAGATATTAACAAATTCAGAGGTCATTAATTTTTGTTTTAATTTATCTTTTTTCTTGACATAGGTATGGAGACTTCTAGTCTTTTGTGACATGAGGATGATCACAGCCAAATTAATGTCTTTGCTGGTTGGAAATTATATGGAATGAGCCCTATCAACACATCCAGTAACAACAGTCATGGACACTGAACAAGAAAAAAACCAACTAATTTATTTTCTGCATGGCTTTTATTTTCTCATGGGCTAGGCTTCGAATTCATGTTTTGCTGTCATCACCAATACAGAGCAGCCCTGATGTGACTTATAAAGAAATTAATTAATAAGAAGTAACAAAGATAATGGATTTAAAAATCCTTTAAAAGAGACTTTGGGGAACATTTAAGGTAAAACACATTTGATAACCCATTATCTACACTCAGAGCACAGCTAACATTAGCATTCTGACACTTTCTATTTGATCTTCATGTTTAAGAATGACAGCTACACATCGAAGGTGCTTCAATGCTCATCTACAACACATCTTTACAATCCCGAGGTAAGACTATGGAGCTATTATTGTGGCAAAACTATTTGAATATGCATACACAGATCCACAAATGTTTAAATATCCGGGGCGCTGGTAGTCCGCGGTAGCACCCAGTGAGTTCAAGACAGACATTACTGAGCTGGATAGCTGTCGTGGGTGCAGTTTTACTGAGGAGGCTACGACGGAGGGTCCATTATAGTTTGTGTTTTTGAAATTTGTTTCCTGTACAGTGCGGGCACGCAGCCTGGCAGCCTGTGAGCCTGGGCTCAGGGTAACAAACCCCACTAATATGTTTGCAGATCGTCAGACACAAATTTGAAGATATGTGTACGCATTTGCGGATCTTGCACGGCAGGAGTGTTGCAAAAGTCACGTGTAAAATGACAGCCAATGGAGAGGTCCGCCTCAGTTGTAAGCGATCATTTGTGTGTATTTTCAGGATTTACAGCTGAAAAAGTTCACTGCCATTAATAAATAAGTAAATATTTCGAGATTGGTCTGCATATTTGCAGATTAGTTTACGCATTTGTGGATCTTTTTACACATTTGTTGATCAGTGTGTGCGTTTGTGGATCTATTTAGGCATTTGGATCTGTTTACACATATTCAAATAGTTTTGCCACATTAATAGCTCCATATAAAACTAACCGGATGTTTTATGTAACGCATTGTGGTTTAAGTTTTTAAGTCTAAAATCGCTGATACAGTAAGGTGAAAATAGTTTTCTTTTCTCAGGCTAATATAAATGTGTTTAAGATTAGGGTTAATATGTATACCCTATATGTATGTGCACATAATACTAGTCTGCCCTATTTTTTTGTTCCTTTATTTTTAAATAATTGTATCTTGTTTTTCTATAAATATTATAGGAATGCTGTAAATGTATATTTATATGTATATAAAAAAAAGGCATTAGGAAATGGACATTTTAATGAAATGTTTGATGTAATGGTATTTGTTTGCTGTTTATGTTGATTTTACTATACAATGATTCATTATATTTAGAAGAAGTATCGTTCAATATTTGTATGAAAAAATGATCCAAACAAACGGCAGGTTTATTTTTTGATACAAATCACACTTCATGCAGCTAAGCAAAACTTTACACATTCTTAGTAAGCAATACAACCCTATTTAGCATCTGACTTTTTATTTCATTTTATAAGCTCATTTTAAGAATTGGCATCTGGTTTGTTTCCAAAAACAAGTTATCAAGACATTTTTTTTGGTAATATAAGTCACTTCAGTCAGACCAGGGGCTTCTGATCCTGGGCTGCATTCAGATGCTACTCCTCATCATAGGCATGGCAATCTTGATATCATTTTTATAACCTCTGAAGTTGACATTGTCATGGAGTCAACTTCCTCTTGCACAGATTCTAACAAACCATAAAAGGCAATTTCAGATAATTTCTTCCTTGTAAAGGATTAATAACCACAAACCAGTAAATTGACGATACCAGCATTTTTTTTTCTTTGCTGCTGCTGCTTCATTGCTCTTTACAGACTTAACTCTAATGCTTTTAACTTTGCGTACACATGCACATGTGACTGCCTTGCGTCCCCTGTGTCTGTTTGTTGCGTCAGCTGTGCACATCCTAAAAAAAATTGAGGCAACGCGGACACAAGATGAAGTGTGCACATGACCAATAGGGTAAAGATGGCAGGGGGGATTGTAACAGAGTTAACACGGCAGTGGGAAAAACAATGGTAGTAGGTTTTGCAAACAAACTGTTTGACCAAGTCCACAACTATTCAGTGTGTACAATGTGTCATGTTACTGCATCGTAAAAAAAAACTCCCATGTCAAAATAGCTTGGACAGATAAGTTACATTTTACAAGTCGATGTGGAAATCAGCAAAACTAAAATAGATGCCTCAGTTCACCCTGTAAACTGAGACCTTTCAACAGAATGTGTCCATGGCTGCATGTGTAATTGTTGAATTTTCTTTCTATTCATATCTGATTACATTATTTTCTTTTTATCTTAAATTGATTGAACCAGGATAACCTCATTGAGATTAAGAATCTCATTTACCAGAGTGTCCTGGCCAAGAGGGGCAGCAGCACAACAAAAAGTTACAGACATGAAACACAGAGTAATTACAAACACACTTTAACATGTCCTGAGTCACAGAGCACAAAGTCATTAGTCTCTACAACCTGAAGCATATTCCTCCAACACCTTCAATCTACTTTTAAAATGATAAATTATGTTGAAGAACTAAACAAAGAGGAATTTACTAGGACTCTTTTCATTCTTTAACAGCTGCTTTAACTGAGATATCTATGGACATATTTGGCTTAAAGTCACCAGTTAAAAGGGGTTACAGTCCATGAAACTGAGTGCAGAGGTTGTTAATGTTGCTATTGTGTTAATTATGATCTCAGAATTATTATAATCGTAACCTTCTACATGCCGCATGTCTGTTGTTTCCTGCACATCAGGTAGCCCGAGAGCTCAGCATATGGGCTGGGCTCTCTGGTGTGCCCTCGAGAGGTATCCTCCAGTAACAGATGTAGCACATTCAGTAGTCAAGGATATATACAATTATGTTATTGTTTATGCAGCTTAACATTATCAAGGTTAAACAACAAGTATACATCAGGCCTAAAGACATCCTACCAGTGTACCAAGAATGTTGCTTTATTATAATGGCCAATATCTGCATTATCAAGATTCTATACTTTACTACTTTTTTCTCCAGAGCTTTGTTAAACATCTCCATCAGAAATCTCCCAGAAGTGTTGTAAATATTTTTTTTCTTTCATTTTTATTTTGGAAAATTGATATTATACTCCTTTTTCCTACCTTGCCTACCTGCTTGTTATATGGTATTTTCTTAATGTACCTTATCATATCATAATTGTAGTAATACCAATCAACAATAAATATGACTCTTACTTGGATGTGTTTTATGTTCTCTACGCTCTACATAAAACAACTGTGGAAGTATTTAAAGGGATACTTCACCCGCTGAAACATGAATCTGTATTGACATTGGGTCATATATGTAGTAGAAATGTGAAATACATTTTGAAGCTAATGCCTTCTTGACCGAGACAAGGCAGAAAGTGTCTTTTTGGCTCATGTGGATGAAAGACACCAACTCCCAGAATGCACAGCACCACAGTCCACTCCCACTGAAGCTAGGGCTCCATTTACAGACATTTACGGCTGTTTCTTCAACTTATTCCGAGATTTCTTCCAGAAGAAATTGGTATCTTGGAAATTCCTGGCAGAAAAAGACGCTAACGCCTGTTAGCCAGTCCCTCCAGGAAGTTGCGATGTCATGATCGCAACAATTAACGCAAATTCAACCAATCCCCACGAATTCTGGGTGACCTTGCAATTTTGTCCAATTACCGCAACCTTTGTGCAAATTTGACCAATCATAGCAGTCCCCCCGCGAAAACAGCAAGCCATACCTCACCAAAGTTTGGTGACCATTGATCAAACTTACTTCCTTGTTTACATATGCAGATGCAGACATGTCCGACACAAACGTTGCACATTTACCTACAAAAATAACAGCTGAGGACCGTACAAGGCAATTCCCCGATGTTTTGCACGGAAGCAGGGGTAAACTTTTTTGCACACTTTGCAACGTTGTGGTGGAACACAAACGAAAGTCATCGATCAACCGCAAAACACAACAGGAGAATGACTGAAACGCGTGGACAGCATACAAGACAAATCACAGTGACAGAGGCTGTTGCATCCAGATCGATTGCAACTGCTGAAAGAAACAAGGCGAGTTAAATAAATAAGCATGGATAGAGCTTGTCTGATTGCGAAACAAACGTGTGCGCATATTAATTAAGTTAAGTTAATTAAGTAGTTAGGAATACACAGTCATACAATGTGTGTTTTAAAAGCTTAAGCAAAATATTAATTTGGATGTGTAATGAAATCAGGTGTGTGTGTGTGTGTGTGTGTGTGTGAGAGAGAGAGAGAGACGTCACTGAGTGAGGCAGAGGAATATGTAACTTCACAAAGCTAATGGCTCTGCTCAGGTTAAAAATATAGGCCTCACTCAATCACATCAAAGTGTGTGTAAGAAAATAATAAAAAGTCTAGATTATTTTACATAAAAAAAATTGCAACTAGTGTTGCAATTTTCGCTTCCTGCCGCAATTTAATTGCAAAAACACATTTTAACAATCCCCCAAAAAGTCTGCAAAATCCTGGAGGGACTGGTTAGCATAGCTTCCAAGCAATATGGTGGACATTGAGTTTCAAATCTGGGAGTGAGGTCCCACCCACTGATCTGTGATAGGTCTGTAGCTTCAGTGATTGAAAATATGAGGAACTAGCGTTGTAGTTTCACCCTGCTAACCACAACAGCCGGTGATGACGCAAAATGACGATTTTCGGGGGAAAATGAGGGTGTGATGCTCGACCATTCAAAAATACTACCAGGTTTCTAATGATACAAAGCATAATGCAAATGGGTGAAGTATCCCTCCCAACAGTTTTAAAATGTGAAAATGATTAAAGTGTTGTTGTTTTTTTAAAGCTGTAAATTCTGTTACAGCTGTCACATTTTCCCCAATTTCCCCTCACATCCCCTTCAAATGACAATTATTATTATACAGTGTTTGCAGCCCTGATCTCCTCAAGCAGGTTATCCCAAAGTCTACTGGCCTTGACCGCAAAACATGCAGCATCTTTTTTTAAGAATTTAGACCTTGAAACAACAAAGAGGGACTAATATAAAGTTTTCAGGTGCTAGCTTTAAAGCTGTAGTATGTCATTTATTTCTGGGGTCATTGGGTAAAATCGATGATAACCAGTCAAGGTGTTGTATTTACTGTGGTCTGAAAGAGAATCAGCAACCAGCACCCATTATTGGCTCTGTATTTAGGCATCAGAAAATCTAGATGTGACCAAGATGGCGAAGTGGTCAACCTGTGTTCCTCTCCTCTCTTTGTTTGGAGCAAACTTTTGCACTTTCTGCCTATGAGATCCTGATCTAACTTTACCATCTGTAAGCTTGATAGCTGCTCCCATTGCAATGTCTCGATCACGCTCTAACAAAAAAGATACGATTGACAAACAGCTGATGGACACCGAGGAGACTACAGAGAGCCCTCTCACAATGGCCTCGCCATCCACTCTAAAGATACATTTCAATGGGAACCATGCAGGCCACCTTGACAAAACACGCTGAGGAAATCAACATAGAACGCACAGTTAGCTCCAAGATACAGGAGCTTCTGAAGAAAGTTGAGTCTACAGCCAAAAACATTTTTCAGTCGTTTACAGGTGACCATAGCAACTCACTAAACCAGATAGAGTCCAAACTAGCTGACATGGAGGACAGAAGCAGAAGGGACAATGTGCGGCTGATAAACATGAGAGAGGGAGTAGAAATGGAGAATGCGCTAGCCTATCTGTCTGCTAACATACCCAAGCGATTCCCATTCCTTGCTGATAAGCCCCCTGAGCTCATGCAGGCTCAACGCATCGGGCCCCGCGTTCATCTTCTTCAGCCCCCTAAGTTATGATCCTGAAATGTCTTCGCTTCACGGACAGAGGCGGCATCCTCAAAGAATCCAGGAGAACACCAGTGGAGGTCTCCGGCCACGCAATCTGTTTCACAGCGGATTACAGCGACTATACATTGAAACGTAGATGACCCTGCTACCCAGTGATGAACCGAGCTCGAAGTCAAGGCTGTGAGGCTTTCTTGCTCTACCCAGCAGTCATCAAGCTAATCCATGAATCGGAACACCTCTTCCAAGATCTTCTCGAGGCAGAAAAGTTTCTGACTTCACTCGAGGACAGTCGTGCTATCTGACCAGTGGTAATTATGAACATGCTCCTGTACACTTTTGACAACGATAGTCTACTGTACTATACATGCTACTGTACTATACATGCTGGCGAGACGTAATACTCAGAGGCGTTGGCTGACTGTCGGACTTTCTGTAATTTAGCTCAATGCTTATTTAAAGAACAATGAATTTATTTAGTTAGACGGTATAATGTTCTGAATAAGTGCTAAAAACCAATCATTATTAACTGATTAACTCTTCTCTAAAAATGTATTACTGAAGTGATCTAGTCCTAACCTTTAATTTTGTTTTTTCATGGGTGGGATTTTGGGAGTGGTGGTGTGGGGTTTGCTATGTGTGTTTTTAACAGATTTTGGAAATGATTGGGGGGAGGGACAGAACCTCGAGGAATGGACCAAAACAAAAACTTGTTGCATCAAATAACTGTGTTTACATTAGTATTATTCCATCCTGACAGCCAAGACTAACATCTCCCTAATGTCTTGGAATGCGTGTGGCCTAAATATTCCCCATAAACGCACAATTACAATGGATTTCCTGCAGAGGAAAAAAGTAGATCTGGCTTTTCTTTAAGAATCTCATTTACTGGAGAAAGATGTCTGTAGATTAAAGAATAAATACTATGATGTTATACAAAAAACAGAGGAGTAGTGATCATTGCCAAACTTAGTTTTCATTTACAGATCTGGGATCAGGAAGGGACTTGGAGGGTAGAGTGGCCTATATCAAAACTATGGTTAGTGACAGAAAGCTGGCATTCATATGTATTTATGCTCCAAACTTATTTGATTGCAATTTCTTTGGTTATTTGACTAAGTTATTGAGATGGGATTTCAATGCTGTCTGGCTGCACACTTTGGACAGAACTGGAGCCGATGAGGGAAGAGAGCAGCGTCTTGCAACCTTAACTCTAAGGAAATGGGAGTTGATGACAGCTAATCCTTCTGCAAAATAATTTACCTGCTATTCGGCACCTCACATCTTTCTCACGTATAGATTATATTTTCATATCAAAACATCTGTATGAGAACACGTCCGATTTCAATTTACAATTATTGAATAAAGAACCAAGCTCTTAGATTCAGGGCAGACTTCCTTATCCACAGGAGCAAACAGAAGTTTTACCTCCACAGTGCTCTGCCAAGCTACTTACTAACCTCGAAACTTAAAAAAACAAATGACTTTCGACCATAACTGCAGTCCAATCACCCACAGGCGATCTGCTTACTGCCCAAATGATATCAACAATTGTTTTCTGTCATTCTACTCTAAACTGTATTCCTCAGAAATAACCCCAACAACCAAATATGCTTAATCCCTCACAGCTAACACAGCTTCACCAATTCTACAATTCACTTAGCAGACGCTTTTATCCAAAGCGACAAGTACAACACAAGCAAGGATCT